GAGCATCTCTCTAATCACACACAGGAACACATTGTCCAGGAAGACTCATCCTCACTGGAGATAGGCAAGAATTATATGGAAAAAATCCTGTGCCGCGTGCTTTAGGATGACCCTTCTTGAACATGGAGCTTGAAACAGATGACACACTGTGGTTCCTTCCAACTTTACCCATACTCTGATTCTGTGATTATAGGAATAGTTTTGTTCTGCTTTGTGATATCTGTAGTAGCTCCAGCAGTGATGATGGCAGACTGCCTTGGTAAGTTCTGGTGGGGCAGCCCCACTCAGACTATTTATTGAAGAAGTTAAACACATATGGACAGAATATGATACCCAAGTAATATAGTACAAAAATAAACTTAATTGTTTTGAAGGGCATTTAATACAACCTATTATTCAGTCATTATTTGTGGACAGTTAAAGGAATTGAGTGACCACAGTTTGTCTAATTACCATTTGTATTAAGGCTGTGAAAGGTTATGAACTGTCTGTGAGGGAGACTTTGTGTTTAAGCTGCTCTCGTGGTTTTGTCTAGTACTGGTAGGAGAGTACATATCCTAATCTCTTTACGTTTGGTGAAAGAGGACAACCAGTTATTTGCAGTTTTGACTGAGGGTATCACACCTGCTTTGGCAGCAGGGTGCAAGCTCACAATGATAGTGTGCACCTTCCCTGGTGCTAAGATACAGCAGTGTGGCCATGGGCTAGTGCTGCCAAGCCTTACCATCCTATCCCTCTGCCTACATGAAGAACTGTGGTCTCCAGCCTTGTCTCTTGTTACTGAGCACCTTTTACCATGAACTCAAGGGCAGCTGGCAAAACACTGTCCTGCTCCTGTCCAGCACAGGCTGTGTGCTGGTGATTGGGTGCAGTGGCTACAGTGAGGCACTGCAAGTGGGTGGCTGCACTCCAGACTACATCATGCTCTGATGTAAAAGCTGAGCTTTTGCCCTGTAGTGAGGCTGTGATTTCCTTAAGGTGAGGATAGCTGGCTCCAAAATGGGGCTTGCTTTTCTCCTTTCTTTTTCCTTCCTTTTTTTCCTGCCATTCACATTTCTTTGACTTGATGTTAAACCTTGTCAATAAATGATTTCAATGCAGCTCCCCAGCAGAAAACACAGCAAAAAAAAGTGGGAAGTCAGATAATTTTCTGCCAACGTACTGAGCTGAATCTGCTAAAAAATGGAGGTGCAGACCCTGTTGGAGAGACAGAGAATGGTGTTTGTCTACCAGCATCACAGAGTCATTAACCTGACTCAGCTACTGCATCCCACTGGAAACCCATCAAAAGGATAATGCAGATTCAGACCCTTCTGGATCATTTGTAGATGTATTAGATGCCTTCAGAATTATCTACTGGCGTTTGGGAGATTTGCTCAGTGCTATCAAGAGCAAAATTTGGCCTTGAACCTCAGATAAGAGGCTGAGTGCCAAAGCACAGGCCTACACAGTGTAAAGGGGTCTGCACTAATGTTAGTGCTGACTTTCCTACATGGCCTTCTCAGGACACCACAATAAGAGTCAAACATGGGGATTATATGTGGATGTCACTGGACTGATCTGGATGCAGCTGTACACAATACATGCATTTGGATCTGTTCACATGATTGCACATGTAGACGGGCAGAGCTGTGGACACTGTGGACGGTGTAAGCTCTGTTTTTTTAGTCATCCATGCATGTATTTATGAAGTTGTGGTTTTGCACAATGTTACGTCTTCATGCAGTTAGTTGAAACTGAAGTCTGTGATGTCTGGGTGTCACAAACTGCCTGTTTTATTTTCAAAAATATATTTATGCAACAAAATGTGTTTTTAAGTGCAGGAGAATGAAACACTGTCATAGGCTACATTGTAAACTAAATTCCAAGGGATATCTAAAATAACAGCACATACCTTGTTCAGTTGCATAATGCAATAATTCTATGATAGCACCGTCGTGCTACTGACATAGAGGATAATTCTAACAATGGAATCTGTGTCCCTGTTGCACGTTCTCCTTTATGAATAGTATCAACACTTTCAAGCTCTTTTTAGAAGTTGCTATGGACTGATACTGTCTCTACAACATTGTTACCCTCTTAGAAAGCTGCGTAGAGAATGACACTCAAGCAATGTTGTACTGTTGTGTGTTTGTTTCTTAGATGTTTGTGACCAAATCTTGTTGTGCTGTTTGCACAAGTGATGTGGGGTGGTAAGATGGGGATCAGAAAGAGCAGGTGCTGTGTCACTCTAGAGACCAGGCTGCCATCAGGACTGAGACAGCTGTAAAGGAAACTGAGATTCCTGTTGCACTAGGTTTCTTCCTGTTCAGCTCATATTTTACCCTTTCTTGTCATCATGTCTGTGTACATCCCATAAGTGAATTGACTGACCTGACTAGCACATGTAGTGCATGAGCTGATCATTCCATCTGACAATTAGCTGCAAATGATTATGATTGACTGATCTTCCCCAACCCCAACAGCTCCACTCCTCTCACCATTCCTGATCCCCAAATATTTCTCCTTCCTAGTGTCTGCACCATGGGGCAGGGGGACCGCTTTGTGCAGGGCTGCTCTTGGCTGGGAGCCCTGCCCATCAAGTGACCTTGTGCTTTGGGGATAATGCGCTCAGGGCGGACCACCTCGCATGGGATATGTGGGGTTATGGGATACTGTGTGTGAGCACTCTGGAGGCTCGCATCTCACATGCTGGAAGCACTCTCCTTCCCTCTTCTGTTTTTTGTGAGAGGCTTTCAAGTCATGAAATGAGATTAAATTTACGCCTGTGTGGAGGACCAGGCCCACGTCTGTGTGCTGTGTAGCCCCTCCACTGACATTATGGACTGGGAAGTACGACTGAGATGACTGGTCCTCAGGAGTATGCAACTTTTGGGCTCCCTCTGTCATGGAGAGGAGTTCAGCTCATGGTATGAACAACAGGGCATTGAGACCCATCCAGCTCCCTGAACTTCCAGAGGCAGTGTGAACATATGTTAAAAAAAGAGAACCTACAGGATGCAGAATTGTCATTTTATTTACCTGAAATGAACCAGATCATCCCTCTGGGTTAGTGTAGAGAAGGACTTCTCACTATGAAACATGGCAGGAAATGGGTCCGCTCTTTTTAATGAGGGTTCTTTGCTAAACGTCACCATGGAGAGGCTTCTTTGCTGTCCTTGTTCTTAAGGGGCAGGATGTATTTTCTCTTATTTCTCCTCTTTCCTGTGTGTGCTGAATCTACAGTCAGTGCTGAGGGACAGTGGAGAGAGGAGACCATCCATTGTAAAGTATGGCTATATTCCTAGCCAGAAACTTGGTACTATGCTTTCTGGTGATGGTCCCCATGCTCTGAGCCATGTCTTGGTGGTTGTGCACCGTAATAGCTGGTGTCTTCCAGCTGTCTGCTCTGTGCAGAGCCAACATGAAGGTTGCAGCACGATTCTCCAAAAACAGAGAGCCCAAGGGCAGCTTTTCAAGGACACCCCTATCAGCTGGGCATCTGCAAGCCAAGAAGAGACAAGGCCTTAAGCACAATTAAATGATGATACTTTCCAAAGGACAGCATGTGAAAAACAGATGAGGCTCTGCTTGATCTCTTCAAGGGTTTTGGAAAGCTAAGGGCTCCCAGGGACATCAATGCTTCACTTCTTTCACAGGAGCACAACTACAGCTGGTGAAGGAGTGGCTCTTCTGAGAACATTCTGCATTCTCTGAGCTCCCAGTGAGTTGCATGGTTGCACTGCTTCCAGCTGCACTCCTGCAAACCAGGTTCCAGCCTGTTCCTCCACACTGCACTGTGGCTGTCGCCCTGCAAAGCTCTGTTGCCATTGTTCTCCAGCACCTTGACTCTTCCTGGAAGCAGCAGAGAGGCATTTACAGTGGCAAAATACTTCAAAGCTGTGAAGCCCCACAGCCCAGAGACTGAGTTTGTTGAAAACTTTGATACTATCCTCTCAAGTGGAACATATTTGAAGCAGTGATGATATATAAAGCTTTAATTCCTGAACTTATGTGGGAAAATATGAATTTGCCACAGAATTTTCTTGTTATATGAACTGACGGATCTCTGTCTCAAGAAATTAATTTATTTCCTCTGTTTTGTCTCTCAGTTGGTTAATGGTAGTTGGCAATGCATCCAAAACTCCATTTATTTTATTATACAAATGCCACTAAATTAGTTGTCTGTGCATTAAAAAATGGACTAACTGTTTAAAAGATACTAGGATGCTTTTGCCAAATCTTTTATTCTTGTGCTCTTGTAGCATTCATTAGACATCATTTGTCACTATCTGAAAAAACAGTACCATTTCACATTTCAATCTGATCTTTTGTAATTAAAAGAGGTTTCTTTCACTTAAGATACTGGTAATGTAGATGCTATCTTTGAAATTCAGTGGGATAGTTTCAGTTGGAATGAAAAGAGGTGTTAAGCTCTTCTAAACAAAGCTGTAGGAATCCATTAGTGAGTTCTTTTTGATTATTACTGTTTGATACAGTCTGTAAATGTCAAGAAAATAACATAACAGTCAAGTGAAGGAAAAAACATCAAGAAAATGCAAAATGTTTAGGAAAAAATAGAAGACTAAATGCTTTAAAATAATTAATTTAACAGATACTATCTTTGCCACTTCAGCTGCTTTTCTTTTTCTTTTAAAATTTTTTCTTTTTCTTTTTCTTTTTTTTCTGAACAAATAAAACTTTGACATTCCTCATACCTAGAATTTGATTTGCTTTCTGAAAGTTGTAATCTTGCTGAGACTGCTCTTGTTACCATTATAGCATGTTCTCAGCTGGCCTAAATCATGTGTAGCTTTATGGTCTGTTCCACATTGCTCCTGCTGGGATTCCTCTTTCTTTTCTACTATCACGCATTTAATAAACTTCCTATATGTAAATTTCCAGCCTGAAAACAAACCAATGCAGAAGACATTGCCTGACTATCTTCAGTGGTGGATACAGAAGTCAGGGATCAAGACTAAATGGCTTCAAATTGATTTTGATAACTTTTGTTTATGGAGACAAATATCCTAGTGTCTCTAAGGCTAAAGGCACACTGAACAATGATTGCAGTGCCAGTCACTTTGTGGAGACCTTTGTTTTCTGCCTGGTACCTGTGATTCAGATCTTGTAAGTTTTGTCTTCTTCAGGAGCTTTTTCTGTGAGCAGCTTGAAAGACTGGGTTCCTCTGCACAAGGCTGGGAGCATGGATGTGAAATGCAGGTGCAGAAGTATCCAAGGCTTTCAGAGATGTGCAGACAAAATATGAAATGAAATGTTTTAATGAAATCTGAAAGCTGTCTAGGGAGGAAATGGTGAGAATCTGATTTTGCACCTATTTATGGCAGTACCTGCAAGCTGGGTGATGCTGCTGCCAGAGAGAATTTGGTGCCACTTCTGCAGAGTGCTGTGAGAAGTGTGTGTCCATGCCTCTGCTTCCACCAAGCTTGAGCTGTTCCTGCACTTGCCCCCCCGGCACATGACTAGCCCCACTGGAAATGAGTCTGAGGTGTGCAGGAGGTGACATCACTTGGCCATAGATGTGTTGTTGTGCTTGTTTTTGTCCATGTGGCCCATCCATCTCAGGATTCATCTCGAGACCTGTCAGGGCAGAAAAGCTACTCAATACTGGAAGAAAAAGAAGTGGCAGAATATCCAAGTGCAACGAAGAGCAGTGGAAAGGCAGTGGAAAAGCCTGGCAAACACAATGGAAGTTTTTGTCCTTTTTTCTAAAGAAGGCAAGCGTAATCCTTATCCCTTAATATCCTACTTTGATTTACACCAGAATTAGAAAATCTTTTCCATTTGTTTCAATTATCTGCAGGCATTAACTCTGCCTTTGAAAAGCATTTTTGCTATGACAACCCTTGTTCTCATGGTGAACAGTGCTAGGAGAAACAGCTAACACAAGGATTTTGTCTTTGCCTGCATGCAATGTTTAATCTTTTTAATCTTTTAATGTGAATGTATTTTTTGCCATTTTGTAAATTGACAAGATTAGCACAGTTTCTTCCAAAACAGCAGTTGACAAACACATTTTAAGTATAACTAAATTTCCACCTGTGATTTCTCCATAGTGACCAATTCATTCTTAGAGTTAAACCTCTAAAAGGTTAACACTCACTCACTGACTTTAACAACTTTTTTTTAAGAACAGTTTGTAAAACTGGTTGTAGGTTTTAAAAAAATATTTTGTTTATTAAAAATATTACACTGTCTTGCATAATAATAATTATAATAATAATAACAATAATTCTATGCATTGTGTGATTCAGTGATGTTGCTCTTGAAATTTTGCATGTCTTCTAGATGTTCTGACATTTGTATGTTTACGTGGTACTTGTAAAAATCCTAACCATTGCTGCTATTATCACCACCATTTTAGGTAAGTGAAAATTTTACTATGAAGCTGTGCCAGTTAGCAGGATTTTTGTGTGTCATACTAAAACTGCATTCTGCTGATCATTTCTTGGTTTATGCCAGTATTTAGTGCCTTCTGTAGAAGGAATCAATATGTTGTAGTAGATGGGATGTGCCAAATTTCTAATATCTTGTCTGCACAGATTATCACTTACCAGCTTGAAGCTTAAAAAAAGAAGTAAAAGGAAAAAAATATTTAACTCTCCATCTTTCTTTCAAATGTCTTCTCATTGATTTTAATTTGGAAAACCTTTAACAGAGCTGAAAGGAAGCCATCTTCCCCTGTCACGCCTCCTGCAGCAGCAGTCCACCAACTGTGAGGGGTATGAGGGAATGTGTAGCACCAAAATGTTCCCATTGGTAATGGATCTAATTAACAGTCAGGCCTGCTCAAGTAATTTTGGAGCATGGTAAAACACCATTTAATTAAAGCAGTCCTCTGATTACCATAAGAAACTGTTAGTTCTCCTAGCAGTTGTGAGCTGGTTCTTGTAAACAAGTGTCAGCCTGGTCAAGTGGTGGATTCCAGTCTCTGCTCTGCCTCTACAGAAGCCACACATTGCTGCCAAATGAGACTTGGATGAAAGTCAAGCCCAAGATTTTTGATCTCTTTCTTTCCAACTGCACCCATGGCAGACAAGCCCTGTTTATCAAAATTCTGACATTGCATTTCTCTTCTACCTTCTGCCTAAAATCTGGCAATATTGCAAATGCACACAAGCATATGCATTTGTTTTGATCTGTGTGAGATTCTGACAGGCTGAAATTGTATCATACTGTACTCATACAACAAACAGGCAAGAGGGAAATGTGAGATACCTCTGGTGGATTTCCCAGCCACCAGTCATGGTTCACTGTACCTAGGCTGGTCTTTAAGATAATATTTTCTATGGAAAAAAGAAGAGACTTTTCCATCTCTGTTGAGACATATAAGCTGTCTTGAAAAGACTTTTCAAATCAAAATAACAAGTTACGAGAAAAACTGCATGATTGGGGAAAATAAGAGTACTGTCTTGGTTTGGAAATACAGGTGCCTGCTAAGGAAGGCAGGAGACTCCCCTGAAATGGAGAATGTGAGCACCCCACCCCCCCTCCAAATTGCTATCAATTTCAAATTAAGGGACTCTCAGGCAACAAATATGGAAGCAGGAATAACAGTTCTTTACTAGAGAAGAAAATAAAAAGACAAAATAACGTCCCCCTGGAGGGAGGAGTGGGTGTGGAAGAGATAAGGACAATTGCTCACTTAACAGAAGACAACTGCCATACAGATGGCATATAGAATACATCTTGCCATGCAGTCTGGGACAAGTACATTGGGTTCATCCTTAGAAGTATTGGTCTGAAGTCATCTCTGTCTGCAAGCAGAAAAATTGACAGGCCTTGTGATGTAAAATACTTTCAAAAGTTAATGTTTATGCCAGATTTTTCAATGTAGTTGTTCCTTTTAGTGATACCCAGGACATTTACAAAAGGCAATATTAAAGGAAGCATACAAAATACACTGAAAATCATCCTGTGTAGTAGGGTTGCAAGTTGGTCCTCCAAAACCCGATGAATTGAAGACCCCTGCTGAAGATTAAAACCTTCCACAAGTGACAGAATATTGTGAAGCCTTTTGCAGCACCTCAGTTTCCATCAGTTGGAGGGAATAGGGCTCTCTTCAGAAATGTTAGGTCCTGTAATTGTCCTTTAAAAACTGGAAGCTTCTTCAGACTTGCTTTACCAGATGAGGGGCCAGCTGGGACCAGTTACTGTGCAGTTGTCCACTGTTTTGGTTATCTAGTAGCCATTTACACATGAAAATGTGCTTCCACTAGTATGAGTGAAGAGTTTTCACTCCACAGAGCTCCTGCCTGTGTGGCCCTAATATTAAACATTCAAGGCATGGTCTTACATCCTACATTTCTTCTATTTATGAGTAGATCAGAGTCTCAGTGGTCTCACCATTGCACTAGTTGTCTTACCAACTTGTCTTTCTAACTTCTATGTGTTGGCCTAATTCACCAAAAAACCAGATTGTAACGCAGCAGCTGTTTTTTTCCCATCTTCTTATTTTCCATTGTGAAGCTAGGTATATCTGCATTATCCCCAGCTTAGATTTGAGTCAGAAAAGCCATCAACATCCTTTATTCCTAGTTTGCACACTGGAAATGCAGTAAGGGTTCTATAGGTGCAGACCTGATCTAGCCTGCTGCCTGTGGCATGTCAGTCTCAAGTTGCATTTGTTTGCTTTTCACCACAATTCATCAGTTTCAAGATGCAAATGAGATTATATTAATGGTGTGCTGGTTTAGATACCACCTTCCAATCACAGTGATTCCTTCAGTGTACATACTGTCAGTCTTGTAATTACATTTTGTCTGATGTGCATTATATTGCAGGACCAGCTTTCCTTTTTCCTTTTAAATGTAGCTTAGCCTATGCTGCTGAAAGGATCCAAGAAAGAATTATCTATCTAAACCCCAATGGAATTTGGGACCTAGCTCTTGTTAGACCCCTTTGCAAGCCCCAGCTGTAATCAGCTATTTAAGGCAGAGATTTTAGTGTGAGGAGTGCTATGTATCATCAATGCAGTTGCCTGTACACAGGGCACCTTCTTACACAGATCTCTTGCTCCTGCATTTGTGAGATTAACTGAACAGAAATTTACTAGGGAGAAATAATATTTTGATCTATTTTAATGCATTAAGCTCTGCAAATCTAGAAATATGGGGGGAAGGGAAGATTACAGGATCATTTTCTGAAAATGTGAGCAACATTGTCAACTAGTCCAACTTTTCAATTAACTGTTTGGCCCCATTGTCCTCAAATTACCCTATTTTTGTACTTGCACAGTATCAGGAGAAAAACAAGCAAAAAGGCTTTGTGGCTGTAAATGAAGAAGGATTTCATAACCTACTTTGAACCTCAGATCAAATGGTGTTTCTGGGGCTGGTAATTTTTTTACTCATCAGCTCATCACTTGGATAAGTTTTGACCCATGTGAATGTCATATTGCCATGCCTGCAGCATATTTTTAAGAAGCAAACTTCATACATTCCTTTGCTGGTGAAGACCGATATGGTCAACAACGTTGTCTGTCATTTGTGTCAGTTAAAAAGTGTTTTGTTTTGTTGTGATGTATTTTTCTTCTTCAAGACACTCCACTATTTTTTAATGGGGATAGACTAAAAAAATGTGTGTTGTACTGTTGTCTGCCACAATGTCTTCTTGAAAAATATTCTTTAAGTATTTGAGTACAGAAGTGCCCTCAATAAGAAGAAAAAAAAAAAAAAAAAAAAAAGAGGTTTTTTTTAAGGTGGTATTTATGAGTTTTCTCTCTTGCTTTGTTGTCAGATAATTAGACTTTTGAAAAGAATGGATTCTGCTTGTGCTAATTGGAGTATGACATTCACTGTTACTGGTCTGTAAATTCCAGAAATATTCAGATCTTTATTGCACTTCACCTCCATTTTTATTCTCTTATGATAATCTTTAAGAAGTCTGGTTCTGCTGCATTAGAGATTGGTTTCAGTGTCTGTACAATGTTTGCTACTATTGTAGTGTGACTTTGTATTTTTGATTTTTAAAATTTGTATTGGTACAGCCTTAACTTACAGAAATAAAGACC